GTGTACAGTGTGTGTTGTGTACAGTGTGTGTTGTGTACAGTGTGTGTTGTGTACAGTGTGTGTGTTGTGTACAGTGTGTGTTGTGTACAGTGTGTGTTGTGTACAGTGTGTGTTAGTACAGTGTGTGTTGTGTACAGTGTGTGTTGTGTACAGTGTGTGTTGTGTACAGTGTGTGTTGTGTACAGTGTGTGTTGTGTACAGTGTGTGTGTGTTGTGTACAGTGTGTGTGTTGTGTACAGTGTGTGTTGTGCACAGTGTGTGTTGTGTACAGTGTGTGTGTGTTGTGTACAGTGTGTGTTAGGCACAGTGTGTGTTGTGTACAGTGTGTGTGTTGTGACAGTGTGTGTTGTGTACAGTGTGTGTGTTGTGTACAGTGTGTGTTGTGTACAGTGTGTGTTGGGTACAGTGTATGTTGTGTACAGTGTGGGGTAATAGTGTGTGTTGTGTACAGTGTGTGTTGTCAGTGTGCAGGTACAGTGTGTGTTGTGTACAGTGTGTGTTGTGTACAGTGTAGTTGTGTAGTGTGTGTGTGTTGTGTACAGTGTGTGTGTTGTGTACAGTGTATGTTGTGTGTAGTGTGTGTGTTGTGTACAATGTGTGTTGTGTACAGTGTGTGTGTTTGTGTACAGTGTGTGTTGTACAGTGTGTGTGCAGGTACAGTGTGTAAGGTACAGTGTGTGTTGTGCATGTGTGTATGTAGTACAGTGTGTGTGTTGTGTACAGTGTGTGTGTTGTGTACAGTGTGTGTTGTGTACAGTGTGTGTTGTGTACAGTGTGTGTGTGTTGTGTACAGTGGTGTTGTGTACAGTGTGTGTTGTGTACAGTGTGTGTTGTGTACAGTGTGTGTGTGGTGTACAGTGTGTGTTGTGTACAGTGTGTGTTGTGTACAGTGTGTGTGTTGTGTACAGTGTGTGTTGTGTACAGTGTGTGTTGTGTACAGTGTGTGTTGTGTACAGTGTGTGTTGTGTACAGTGTGTGTGTTGTGTACAGTGTGTGTTGGGTACAGTGTGTGTTGTGTACAGTGTGTGTTGTGTACAGTGTGTTGTGTACAATGTGTTGTGTACAGTGTGTGTGTTAGTATGTGTTAGTACAGTGGTGTTGTGTACAGTGTGGTAGGTACAGTGTGTTGTGTACAGTGTGTGTTGTGTACAGTGTGTGTTGTGTACAGTGTGTGTGTTGTGTACAGTGTGTGTTGTGTACAGTGTGTGTTGTGTACAGTGTGTTTGTACAGTGTATGTTGTGTACAGGTAGGTGACAGTGTATGTTGTGTACAGTGTATGTTGTGTACAGTGTGTGTTGTGTACAGTGTGTGTTGTGTACTGGTTTTTATCACAGTACGCTATTTTGCCTCTTAACTACTCGTAAAATACCCTAACCTAACCTAACCTAACCAAACAATACCTCATAATTCTTTCAAAATTAGTTAATATATGTATGCTAATTTTTTTTTATTCTATTTAGTTTTTTAAGAGAACTCGAAAGCAACATATTGTATCATTTATATATTGCTAACTGGCGAGTTGGGCCAGTGTTTACACGAGAATTGAGCCACACCAAAATATTGACTTTGTATCCATTTTTACCAGACTTCTCCCTCCCTCCCCCCGTCTGACCTTTAACTATATACGACAATAGTGAGGATAGATCTTGTCTTAGTTATATGTTATTAACGTAGTGGATATTACACCTCTTCAGAGACACACCTTGAGCAATAAGTTGTAGGACAGTGGGACATATCCTAGTAGACTTTACCTTAACTTCACCTAATCATAAGATCTGGAGTCCATTATGACTGGGGACTATTAATACTTAGGCCTCTCGGCTCTGGAACATATGAAGACTCCGGCACATGTGAAGTGTATTCCAGTAGGTTTGAGTCCCATTAGAATTGAGGCTCATTAACTCTATGGAGGCTATGATTTAACTCTTTGATGACGATGATTTAACCCTTTGAAAATGTTTGTTTAACCCTTTGATGACGATAATTTAACCCTTTGAGAATGATGGTTAGGTTAGGTTAGGTTACCTTACCTTACTTAGATGGGATGAGCTAGATTAGTTTAGGCTAGATTAGTTAGGTTAGGTCAGGATTAAGTTAATTAAGTTACGTTAGGTTAGGGTAGGCTAGGCAGGTTGGGGTAGGCTAGGGTAGGTTAGGTTATGTTAGGGTAGGTTACGTTAGGTTAGGTAGGCTAGGTAGGGATAGGTTAGGTTAGGGGGCAGGCTAGGTAGGTTGGGGTAGGCTAGGGTAGGTTAGGTTATGTTAGGGTAGGTTACGTAGGTTAGGGGTAGGCTACGGTAGGATAGGTTAGGTTAGGTTAGGGGTAGGCTAGGTAGGTTGGGGGTAGGCTAGGCAGGCTGAGGTTATGTTAGGCAGGTTGGCGTTAGGTTAGGTAGGCTAGGTAGGTTGGGGTAGGCTAGGTAGGTTAGGTTATGTTAGGTAGGTTACGTTAGGTTAGGTAGGCTAGGCAGGATAGGTAGGTTAGGTAGGCTAGGCAGGCTTGGGTTAGGCTAGGTAGGATAGTGTAGGTAGGCTAGGGTAGGTTAGGTTAGGGTAGGCTAGGGTAGTATATTTCAGTAGCTTTGGATATATTTACGAAATTACTGAGGCTGGTGTTCGAAACGACCAACTTTGTCTAAGATTGTTCGTGTACCAATATGTGTCTCTAGGTATACTGAGACACATGACTGTAACGAGTTCATGAGGAACACTAGAGAGAGAGAGAGAGAGAGAGAGAGAGAGAGAGAGAGTGAAAAGTGGATGAGATGGAGAGAAAGTGAGTGAGTGAGTGAGTGAGTGAGTGAGTGAGAGAGCGAATTGAGAACGACAGAGAGAGAGTTCACCTGAGGTATTCAGAATATATAGATTAATAACCTCATTAATGATTAAGCCAGTCAAGTATAAGACGGGAGACATTATAATAATATTCGACATATTTTATTTCTCATTATATACACTGTACATTCTTCTCCCTGTAGTCAGACCCCCCATCCCCTACCCACTATATGTATTTCTGTAAAACGATTCAGTCAGACAATTTTACGCGGGTAAATGACAGCTGACTTCATCATTTTAGTCAACACATTGCCGGGGGCGTCGCTCCCGGCCACCAGTACCATCACGCCACAAACAACACCAACAATTTAAAAATACAAAATCGTGAGTCGCCAGATTCCTGTGAAAAAAAAAAGATACTAAATTTGTATCACCGGATCAGTGTGAGAAAAAGATGAACCCGAGATGTAAACACCGAGAAAACGACGTAGGACCTGAGACATGTGAAGGAATTAACATAGAAATACGATAATAATTGATGAAGCAAGTTAGGCGTAACCAGATACGTGTGAAATAAACAACACACACACACACACACACACACACACACACACATATATATATATATATATATATATATATATATATATATATATATATATATATATATATATATAAGTCCAATTTATGAGATAATCCAAACCCCAAAAGGCCCAGATTTATGTAATAATAGAATACAAAAAGATTAACAATATTCTAAACTTTATATGACTGAATTCATGTGGAACAAAATGAAACCAAAACTATACCTACATTAAATGAACCCGAGTCACACACACACACACACACACACACACACACACACACACACACAACAAAGATTACGGCTGTATTGATTGGTCCAGCCATCCGTGTTGAAATTCAATCAAAACTTTGTAGCCAAGAACACTATGGAGGAGGAAGATCGGTCGACATGCAATCTTTTTGTACCGCTTGGTCCCGACTCACCCCTAACCCTCATGGACCTGCTCACCCTTAAGGCTCCTACATGGACCTGCCTCACCCTTCACATGGACCTGACTCACCGTAAGGCCTACATGGCCCTGACTACCCTAAGGCTCCTACATGGACCTGACTCACCCTAGGGCTCCTACAAGACCTGCCTCACCCTTAAGGCTCCTACATGGCCCTGACTCACCCCTAGGGCTCCCACATGCCCCTGACTCACCCTCAAGGCTCCTACGTGGTCCTGACTCACCTAATGCTCCTACATGGTCGCTCACCTTAAGGCCATGGCCCTGACCCACCCATGGCCTGACTCACCTTGCATGGCCCTGACTCACCCCTAAGGCTCCTACATGGCCCTAATAGGAACAGGATCATTCCGTAAGACCATCATACAAATCTACATTTGGCTTTTAATTTATATAGACAACGCAGGTGTATAGTTCAGCCCAACGCAGGTGTATAGTTCAGCCCAACGCAGGTGTATAGTTCAGCCCAACGCAGGTGTATAGTTCAGCCCAACGCAGGTGTATAGTTCAGCCCAACGCAGGTGTATAGTTCAGCCCAACGCAGGTGTATAGTTCAGCCCAACGCAGGTGTATAGTTCAGCCCAACGCAGGTGTATAGTTCAGCCCAACGCAGGTGTATAGTTCAGCCCAACGCAGGTGTATAGTTCAGCCCAACGCAGGTGTAGTTCAGCCCAACGCAGGTGTATAGTTCAGCCCAACGCAGGTGTATAGTTCAGCCCAACGCAGGTGTATAGTTCAGCCCAACGCAGGTGTATAGTTCAGCCCAACGCAGGTGTATAGTTCAGCCCAACGCAGGTGTATAGTTCAGCATATATACAACACAGGTTATAAGGTGTATATAGTGTTTATTGCATCTTGACAGTGCAGGCAGACAGTTCCCATGTACACCTTCCCCTCCTACCTCCCTCCCTCTCTTCCTTATTCTCCTTCCCCTTCCTCCCTCTCATCTCTTCCTCCTCCTCCCTCCCTCCTTGCATATGATCACTATTCTCCCTCTGTCTACTAAGCAAAATCAGAGGTTCTCTAGTTAGACAGGTGCAGGAGTTCTTCTCCCACAGGTGTAATAAACCAGGTGTTCTTCCCTCCCACAGGTGTAATAAACCAGTTGTTCTTCCCTCCCGCAGGTGTAATAAACCAGGTGTTCTTCCCTCCCACAGGTGTAATAACCCAGGTGTTCTTCCCGCCCACAGGTGACGTGGCTTAAGAGAGACGAGGATTACCTGTTGACGGCAGGCGGACACATGTATGCCTCCGATAAGCGTATGTCAGTGGCCCACATCGAGGCCCAGAAGGTACTGTATTAAGTGTGACCACCAACCTTATTGTTTTGTGTATGTGTGAGGCTGACACTAATATTACCTGTATTATTATTATTATTATTATTATTATTATTATTATTATTATTATTATTATTATTATTATTATTAGTAGTAGTAGTAGTAGCAGTAGTAGTAGTAGTAGGATTGGATAGGATAGCTACTTATGTATTAGGATATTTAATATTAAGGTAATAAAATGGCGGCAAAGGTGTGACTATTGGGGGAGGGTGAAGGCCACTTAGTAGTAGTAGTAGGAGTAGTAGTAGTAGTAGTAGTAGTAGTAGTAGTAGTAGTAGTAGTAGTAGTAGTAGTAGGAGGAGGAGGAGGAGGAGGGGGGAGGCAAGAACACTGCAGGATTGGAGAAGGAAAGCAAAACACAGAGGATGTTGCCAGAAAGTTTGGTAACAAGATGCGTGGGAAAAGTGTCCTTGAGGTAAGATCTCTCACAGAGGAATCCACCGGTGGAGTTCTGCCAATAAACAGAGAGACATTACAACAACTGAAGGAAAAACATTCCCCTGCAAGTGAAGAGGGAGGCATCAGGTTCCAGGGTGCCTATAACCCCAAATGCTGTCATGTTCAAGAAGATAACAGGAGGGATGATGTGGAAAAAGCACTGAAGACACAGGGAGGGGCTGGCCCTTCAGGCCTGGATGCAGACGGTTGAAGAGTCCTCCTCAGCACTTACAAGTTTGGTGACGCAGAAAGTGATCTCTGCAATGGCACCGGCACCCTTGCAAGAATGCTAGCAACCTCGTGCTGCCATCACCTATAGTCCTACATGCTCTGACAGCCTGCCGCCTCATCTCCGAGATAAAAATCCAGGATGTAGGCCTATAGGGGTGGGGGAAGTGCCGAGACGGATCATTGGAAAATGCATAATGGAGGTGGTTAATGATGACGTCAGGGCAGCTGCAGGGAACCTGCAAGTATGTGCTGGCCACCAGGCTGGAGGGGAAGCTGCCATTCACGCCATGAGAAAGATATAGGAGCAGCGTGATTGTGAGGCAGTACTCCTGGTTGACGCTTCAAAAACATTCAACATAATCAACCATAAGGCTACACTGCACAACATCAAGTGTCCAAGCTTTGCAATGTATGTAGAAAACACCTACAAGAACCCATCAAGACCTCTATTTAATAAGCTTCATGTCCCTAAGAGGAGATACCACCATACAGTCAACTGAGGGAACAACTCAGGGGGACCCTGTCGCCATGGCAATGTACACACTAGGCCTATCAGTGCTCCAACACACAATAAAATTGAAACAACCGAGGTCAAGCAAGTGGCATATGCTGTTGACCTTACAGGAGCAGGAAAAGTGGAGGACATCAAAAAGTGGTGGGACCTGGTAATATCACATGGTCCACACATCTGGTACCACCCAAATGCCAGCAAGTCCTTCCTCATTGTGAAGTCAGAACACTATGAACGGGCTATAGAGGTGTTCGGAGAAAGTGATGTCAAAATAACAAAGGACAGCCAAAGACATCTAGGTGCTGTAATCAGCACGAAGACTTCAAGACCGAGTACGTAACGAGAAAGGTAAATGAGAGGGTGGAGGAAATCCAAGCTCTGTCGGATATTGCTAAAACGGAGCTACATGCGGCATTTGCGGAATTCACCCATGGAGCCAAGCATCGCTGGAATTACCTGATGCGCACTATTCCTGATGTCGGACCCCTCCTCCACCCTCTGGAAGAAGCCATCAGCGTCATTTTTACTCCCAAATTCTTGAAACACTTTCACTTAACCCCAGCAGAAAGGTCAATCCTTGCACTACCACCAAGACTGGGAGGTATAGGAATGACCAATCTAGAGGAGCTTGCTGCCACCGAACATCAGAACTCAGTCAAGCTCACGGCAACCCTCACTGAGCAACAAGTGAGATGGATACCAATAAATAAAACAATATTCGACGGTCCATTACGACAAAACAACATCACATCCAAAGTGATAAACATCAACAACTGAGGCTGCAATTGCCACAAAACTTGAAAAAAGTAGCTATAGCGCAGGATGTGGGCGCTTCGAACTGGCTAACAACGTTACCAATAAGGGCAAAAGGTTTCAGCCTTAATAAACAAGAATTCACAGGTACCATTACTCTAAGGTACGGTTGGCCAGTAGAAGGTTTACCCTCCCAGTGCGTGTGCGGTTCACCCTACGACATTGACCACGCCATGGTGTGCAAGAATGGGGGTTTGTATGCATGAGGCATGACAAAGTAAGGGATCTCACAACAAATTTACTGAAGGAAATCTGCCACGACGCTACGATGGAACCGACCCTCCTTCCATTGGACGGTAAGAACCTCCATCACGGGACTTCCAACACATCTAACGAAGCCAGTATAGACGTCATCGCTCGAGGATTCTGGACGCGGGGACAGCGAGCTCTCTTTAATGTCAAGATATTTGATCCCATGGTCGCATATCACCATAACTTGTCTCTTGAGGCTGCATATAAGAGGAACGAGAACGACAAGATTAGGACGTTTACCCAGAGAATTCAGAATGTGGATCAAGGCAGCTTCACTCCTCTGGTGTTCACAACCTCTGCTGGGATGGGACCAAGTGCAAGATGCTTCCATGCAAGACTGGCGGAGATGTTGTCTGAACAGAAGCAACAGCCTAGAAGCCACGTTACGGCCTGGTTGAGATGTCGACTGTCTTTCTCTCTGCTTAGGTCTGGTTTGCTTTGCCTCAGGGGAACGAATCTTCGGCCCCAAAGCAAACAACCGTCGCAGATATTGACTATAAGGCAACAGTCACGGAATGCCGCAGCAGCAGTAGCAGCAGCAGTAACAGTAGTAGTAGTAGCAGCAGCAGCAGCAGTAACAGTAGTAGTAGTAGCAGCAGCAGCAGCAGCAGCAGCAGTAGCAGTAGTAGTAGTAGTAGCAGCAGCAGCAGCAGCAGTAACAGTAGTAGTAGTAGCAGCAGCAGCAGCAGCAGCAGCAGCAGCAGTAGCAGTAGTAGTAGTAGCAGCAGCAGCAGCAGCAGTAACTCGTTAAATAATCTATTTCTTTTGATATATAAATTAATTGGAAGGTAAAGTATTTTCGTTATATTTATGACTTATTGTGAAAATTGTCAACTGTAAATTGATAGAGTGACGTTGATCGCTTCATTAAATAAGTTATTAAGCAAATCAGTTATCAAATTGTTCACATAATTGTCAATTCTCTAATAGAAATTCAAATACCATTTTTATTTAAACGATTCAGTTGTGAGTTTAGCAACCTTACAGAACCTCGGGGTGAAGTGAAACAAGTGAGCCTATTGAAGTTATTACTACATACACGCACACACACACACACACACACACACACACACACACACACGCGCACACACACACACACACACACACACACACACACACACACACACACACACACACACACACACACACACACACACACACACACACACACACGCACACACACACACACACACACACACACACACACACACACACACACACACACACACACGTACACTCACACATACACACACACACACACACATGTAACAATATTTTCTACCGATAAGAATATTATGGTAACTTATTTTTCACCTCTCAATAACAAACGCTAATTACATACTATTAAGTGATGTGTAATTAGAGACAATACTTAAACTGTCAGGTGTTAGTTATTGATTACATTAATTATGTGTTATTATCTTTTATTACAAAGGATTACACCCATTAACAACTGATTAGACAGACAGACAGACAGGCACAGGCAGACACAAAGAGACAGACAGACAGACAGACAGACAGACAGACAGACAGACAGACAGACAGACAGACAGACAGACAGACAGACAGGCAGAGAGACAGACAGACAGACAGGCAGACGACAGACAGACGAACGACAGACAAAGACAGACAGACAGACAGACAGACAGACAGACAGACGAACAGACAGACAGACAGACAGACAGAGACACAGACAGACAGACAGACAGACAGACGAGACAGACAGACAGGCAGAGACAGACAGACAGACAGCAGAGACACAGACAGACAGACAGACAGACAGGCAGACAGAGACAGACAGACAGGCAGACGACAGACAGACAGACAGACAGACAGACGAACAGACAGACAGACAGACAGGCAAAGGCGGAGCACAGACAGGCAGACAGACAGACGGAGCAGGCAGGCAGAGCAGACAGACGAACGAATAGATAAAGATATATGAGACAGACTAGATAGATAGATAGATAGATGAACAGGTAGACAGTGTCAATTAAAATCCACTAAACTGAGGAATATTTATAAAAGGGAGATATAACTCACACACTCAACTCTCAATAACTATGCAAATTGTGTCATATTGTTTTCACCTTCAGTCCAGTATTTGTGTTACTTGTTACCTGTGGTGTGTTACTTCTTACCTGTGGTGTGTTACTGGCTCCCTGTGGTGAGTTACTGCTTCTTGGGATGTTACTGTCTCTGTAATTAATGTTACTGGGGTCCTGTGAGGGTCCCCTGTGGTGTGTTACTGGGTCCCTGTGGTGTGTTACTGGCTCCTGTGGTTGTGTTACTTGTTACCTGTGGTGTGTTACTTCTTACCTGTGGTGTGTTACTGGCTCCCTGTGGTGTGTTACTGCTTCCTGGGATGTTACTGGCTCCTGTGGTGTGTTACTGGCTCCCTGTGGTGTGTTACTGCTTCCTGGGATGTTACTGGCTCCTGTGGTGTGTTACTGGCTCCCTGTGGTGTGTTACTGCTGACTTCCTGGGATGTTACTGGCTCCTGTGGTGTGTTACTGGCTCCTGTGGTGTGTTACTAGCTCCTGTGGTGTGTTACTGGCTCCTGTGGTGTGTTACTGGCTCCTGTGGTGTACTGGCTCCCTGTGGTGTGTTACTGGCTCCTGTGGTGTGTTACTTCTTACCTGTGGTGTGTTACTGGCTCCTGTGGTGTGTTACTGGCTCCAGTGGATTTGTGTTACTGGCTCCTGTGGTGTGTTACTGGCTCTGTGGTGTGTTACTGGCTCCTGTGGTGTGTTACTGGCTCCTAATGGTTGTGTTACTGGCTCCTGTGGTGTGTTACTGGCTCTGTGGTGTGTTACTGGCTCCCTGTGGTGTGTTACTGGCTCCTGTGGTGTGTTACTGGCTCCTGTGGTGTGTTACTGGCTCCTGTGGTGTGTTACTGGCTCCTGTGGTGTGTTACTGGCTCCTGTGGTGTGTTACTGGCTCCTGTGGTGTGTTACTGGCTCCTGTGGTGTGTTACTGGCTCCTGTGGTGTGTTACTGGCTCCTGTGGTTGTGGTATTATTGTTAGCATGGGTTGTACTGTAACTGCCAGACATATATTGGTTGTAAGAATAATCACAATAATGTTAGGGTTAATAATTATCATACGTGTTGTGTCATGCAGTTGTGGGAGTTATCGCTGAGGAACGTGCGACTATCGGACGCTGGGCTGTACGAGTGTCAGCTCACCACTCACCCCCCAACCTCACTTTTCTTCACTCTCAAGGTCGTAGGTAAGTGTGGTGGGGACAGAGAACCTAAGGAGGGGCGAGAGAAGGATAAGAGAATATGGGAAGTAGAGAATAAGATACGAGGAGAGTGAGTGAGTGAGAGAAAACGAGAGACAGGGAGAGAGGATGAGACATATGGGAATAGAGAATAAGATACGAGGAGAGTGAGTGAGGTGAGACACAGACAGGTAGCTGTAACGACGAAAGAGAGATAGAGAGAGAGGTAGTAAGGAAGAGAGCTGACGGAGAAGAAGAAGAGAGGGGAAAAGAGAATGAGACAGGTGAAGAAAAAGGAAATAAGCGAGACAAGATGAGATAGAGGAAGATGAGGAGAGAGAGATAGAGAAACGCGGGTAAAGGAAGATGAATCATTCCCTGGAGAACACTTACAGGGTCATCAACACTCATTAAACACAACACAACATCCAATACTCCAAGTGTTTTGTAGAAGGTAGAAGATTAGGTTATTAGTACGACAAGTTATGGCAGGACGCTAAGACGGTGAAGATTTATGAAGTTTAGCATTAGAGAGGAAAGGAAAGTTTCTCAACTACCCAACCTTAGTGTTATCAAGGGCTACAATATCAGGTGTGGCCCAACCTTAGTGTTATCAAGGGCTACAATCTCAGGTGTGGCCCAACCTTAGTGTTATCAAGGGCTACAATCTCAGGTGTGGCCCAACCTTAGTGTTATCAAGGGCTACAATCTCAGGTGTGGCCCAACCTTAGTGTTATCAATGGCTACAATCTCAGGTGTGGCCCAACCTTAGTGTTATCAAGGGCTACAATCTCAGGTGTGGCCAACCTTAGTGTTATCAAGGGCTACAATCTCAGGTGTGGCCCATTGGCTGGATTATTTAACCATAAGAGTTTTGAGTAAATTGCAATAAGTAATGGAAATTGAACTACAGGAGGTAGAAAGTGAGTCTTAGAAACGTTGAATTTCACGAGGTTACGGCTATCACACCTGGAGAGGAAGCAGCTAGGTTAGGTTAGGTTAGGTTAGGTTAGGTTAGGTTAAGCAAGAATGAGGAGAGAAAGAGACTGAGCAAGAGGAGATAGAATGGATTTGAAAGAAACAGAAGAATGTAGAGGTAAATATTTATAAGTTGCCACACACGAAAATTACTAGTGTATTTCATCTTGTTACATACGGACTTGACTTCAATCCGGCGGAAATTATTATTTATGGGGGTATGACCACCCCCTCCAAGTATGTCACGTATGCCGATCTTCACGATACTGTCAGGCTGAATTACTCCTTGGACACTTGATGAAGAAGGGAGAACACAATGACCACTGAAGATGTCAACAACTATGGCCTGGTTCTCAAAACCTCGCTGAGGTATAAGACAATTGACCAAGGCGTAACTTTCACAAACGGTCACCATTTTGCAACTAACCGTTTCAAATTTCGGAGCTTAAACATGCTCACAGGTCTTCCGGTGATTGGCTTACACGCGTCACATGACATCTAAACTTCCACTGATTGGTTGGGTAATAAGTATATAATGGATTTCCCAGGTAATTTTTACTAAATTTCAGGGAAATAAAACGATCAAAATAACTCGAAAACTATAAATATTTCCCGGAAACAATTTAGAGTTTAGTATTCTTTGTTTTTCTTTATATCCCTCTATAAGAATCAACATAGTGTTCCGTGTTTGGCAACTTCTAAAATCATTGAGATCTTTAACCCTTTCGTTAATAGACATAATTAAACCCTTATAAATATCATATATTATTCAGTTCAATTAAGGCATCTTTTATCACACACACACAGAGGCTCAAGCGGTGATCGAGGGTTATCCAGAGCTTCATTTCCACAAGGGGCAAACTCTCCGCCTCAGGTGCAACGTTGAGGAGGCCACGGAGCCACCCCTCTACATCTTCTGGTACCACAATGGCAGCCAAGTACAGAATTTCTACCAGAACAAACCCGTCAGGGTCGAGAAACACCGCTACCGCAGCACACTTACCATCACCAACGTCACGTACAGCCACGCCGGGAGTTACCGCTGTGAACCCCACCTGGCAACACCAGCCAGGATCAGCGTGCATATCTCAGGTAAGGCCAACCTGTACACGTGTTTAAGAGGTACTAGGTCACCCCAGCTCACTATCCCGTTATATTAGTCTAAGGGGTTAAACCATCGTCGTCAAAGAGTTAGTATCACCATTGTTGTCCATGCTATTGTTATCATTGTCCTAATCATCGGATTGTTCTCGGTTCCCGTAGGCCAGCCAGCAGCCATGCACATCGAGGGTCACAGCAGCGGGATAGTAGAGGAGGACGACATAGTGTTTGCCAGTTCGCCGTCTCTGGTGCCTTTACCGCTCCTGGGTCTCCTCACCTGGGTCCTGCTGCTGGGGAAGTGGTGAGACCAGCTCCACGCATCGATGGTCTTTCTGCTGCTAGACCAACTCCACTCAGTGATAGGCTTTCTCAATCTAAGACCAGTTCCAGGCAACAATGGTGTTTCTGTGGTCGGGGCAGCTTCAGTCCTGTCTGTGTGTTTGTCACAACAGTTCTCTACAGTGCAGGTTACGTTACACAGAGACCGAAGCAAAGATGAAGAAACTAGTGATACAATAGAGACTACTGAAGTGTATGTTTTGATGTTTTTAGAAGCATTACAAAAAAAAGTAAATTTTAAGATTTTTTGAAGACTCCTGGAATGGGTTTTTTTTTAGCTGATGAGTTACGCAATTTTTTGTTTTTTAAGAACCAGAAGGAATCTATAAATACTTCATTTTTCGTTAGACACTGAAAATATGTATTTTTTTTCTCGAGTTTTTCGTACGATACATTATAGTCACTTGGAAAAGTCGTCTAGTTTCTTGTATGGACGTGGAGTTGTCTATTTACTCTATATGTGTCTTATTTTGTATATAAACGACGGGGGAGCTAAGTTAGTGACGTGTGTGTAGACAGTACCAGAGAGATTTTAATAAAATTCTAGATAGTTCAATGTAAATGATGTTGAGATGTCTGTCCAGGAGGTGAGGAGGGCGAGACGGCTGCCCCCGCCACTGGCCCGTATAAGGTATGATGAAGCTTTAACAAAAATAATGTTTGTGGATATTGTTATAAATTCAGGTGCATGTCAGAATAAAAATGAATGGATCTTAAGAAGTTAAGTTAGACTGTATACATACATACATACATACATACATACATACATACATACATACATACATAAAACATGAGCATCCAAAGGAAACCAACAATATTCTCGTTACACATAAAAGTAAAGACACAAACAGACAAATCTAAACCCCCTAAACTAACAAAGAACTTCTCGTCCATCACACATAAAACTGCCCTCAAACACTGGCAGGACGGAAGCACAGCAATACTGTACCGAGCCTGAGACCGGATTCACAAGAAGGTTCGTGTTTGGACCAGAGAGTTGAGAAGCTGTCTGACTAACACAAAAATGCCCGCCGAAATAATGTCCAGTCGACCATGCAGACGATTACTGTAACTAATTGTGTTCTCTTGTGTACCCAAGATTACGAGTAAACCAAGCCTGTGAACACCCGGAGCCTGTGAACACCCGCAGCCTGTGAGTACCCGGAGCCTGTGAGCACCCGGAGCTCAGAACACCTGGAGCTCAGAACACCTGGAGCTCAGAACACCTGGAGCCTGTGAACACTCTGGAGCCTGTGAACACCTGGAGCTCAGAACAACCTGGAGCTCTGTGGGAGCACTCCTGGAGCCTGTGAGCACCTGAGCTCAGAACACCTGAGCCTGTAAGTCCCTGGAGCCTGTGAAATACCTGGAGCCTGTGAAATTACTCTGGAGCCTGTAAACACCTTGGAGCCTGTAAACACCTTTGAGCCTGGGGAACACCTGGAGCTCAGAACACTCAGCCTGGGAACACTCCGGAGCCCAAACACCTGGAGCCTGTAAACACTCAAGCCTGTAAACACCTGTCGGAGCTCAAACACCTGAGCCTAAACACCTGAGCCTGTAAACACCCGGAGCCTGTAAACACCCGGAGCCTGTAAACACCCGGAGCCTGTAAACACCCGGAGCCTGAGGGAACAATGAACCTTTGAAACATTCATCCTAAAAAATAAGAACATAAGAATGGGGGCAACTGCAGCAGGCCTATTGGCCCATACTGGGCAGTCCCATTTACACCCAACCCTTATCGCTCATATATCCATCCAACCTGTGTTTGATGCTATCTCTCGGCGGAGTGCAAATTAAGATGTACTCCCTCTGTTGTACAGATTTAAGTCTGGTTGGGAGAATACTGATCCGCAATAAAATTACTTTAATGCACTTATTATTACAAAGTGCTCTCGACAGGCTTCAATAAGTCAACTGTTGTTTAATTGTGACGGAAAAAAACCCAGAGTGAAAAATACACCGAAAACAAACCAATATACGTACAAGGAAAACTCCCGCACGAGCATCACAAGACACTACAGATTGGTAACTTAATTTAAATTCCTATCAAACATCCTAAACATTATACCTAACAATAATAACAAGAATAACTTAACTGTTGAGTTTAATACAGTACAGTACAGTACAGGTCAGCCACATAAGTAAAGAAAATAAATATTCAAGAAGAGTTCACGTCATTGATTTTCCAAGATGGTAATGGGCAGTTTTCGTGGAGCCTGGTTTACCGGAACAACAGTAACTAGTCCAATGGCTGGTATGCAGAAACTAGCTAATTAGAATAAGTGAACTAAATAAATATACTTTACATGTCATATTACTACAATATAGTTTAAATAATATAATTAGAATATAATATATACAATACACCTGGACTTACATGAGCTCCCATCAAATCGCCAATACCTGATTCACTGGAACTTTCCGTAATCTCGAAACGTCTCGACTAAAGATTCATGACAAGTAAGAACGAATCTTTGAACATCTAAACCCTACTGTAGGAAAAGAGCGAATCTTCGACCTTCCGAACTCATGATGGCAGCACCGGTGATGAGATACCTGACTCCCTTTGCGTGTCTAGGGGTACACTGCACTTCCTTGTCTCTGAGGTGTGAAAGTTACGTGGTTCGGAGCCCTGAGAGACCTCACTCACAGCCCTAATAAGCCCCATAAGACAAATAACTATGTAACCAATAACCTTAATCCTTTCATGGCCTTTCTAATTCCTTATTAACCTCTCTCTCTTTTATCCCTTTTACTTTTACGTATTTTTATATCCATTTCTTCTTTTATTTTTTGAATCCTATTTTCTCTTTTTTTAATTTTTTTTTTACCATCACCCAATATACCTGTCGATTTTTTATCAAACCCTGTTAATCGGCTTTTTCTGTGTGTGTGTGTGTGTGTGGTGTGTGTGTGTGTGTGTGTGTGTGTGTGTGTGTGTGTGTGAGTGTGTGTGTGTGTGTGTGTGTGTGTGTGTGTGTGTGTGTGTGTGTGTGTGTGTGTGTGTGTGTGTGTGTGTGTGTGTGTGTGTGTGTGTGTGTGTGTGTGTGTGTGTGTGTGTGTGTGTGTGAGGTGTGAGTGTGTGAGTGAGTGTGTGTGTGTGTGTGTGTGTGAGTGTGTGTGAGTGTGGGAGAGTGTGTGTGTGTGTGTGTGTGTGTGTGTGTGTGACAGTGTGTGTGTGTGTGTGTGTGTGAGTGTGTGTGTGAGGTGTGTGTGTGTGTGTGTGTGTGTGTGTGTGTGTGTGTGTGTGTGTGTGTGTGTGTGTGTGTGTGAAACTCCCCAGTAAAGGTAGACAGATGGTTTAATGCCTCTAAAAACTTGGTTCAGAACACCAAAGCTGCAGTTCAGGCTTCACTACTCTTCACTGACCCTCCCTCTGACCCCTCTTCCTCCCTCTTCCTACACCAACACCCCTCTTCCTCCCTCTTTTCTACACCAACACCTCTTTTCCTCCCTCTTCCACACCAACACTTCCTACACCTACAACACCTCTTTCCTCCCTCTTCCTTCCTACACCAACACCCCTCTTCCTCTTCCTACACTTCAACACCCTCTTCCTCTCCCTCTTCTTTCCTACACCCCCTCCCCCTCCTACACCAACACCCCCCTTCCTCCCCCTCTTCCTACACCCCTCCTCCCTCTTCCCACACCAACACCCCCCTCTTCCTCCTCCCTCTTCCTACACCAACACCCCTCTTCCTCCCTCTTCCTACACCCCTCTTCCTCCCTCTTCCTACACCAACACCCCTCTTCCTCCCTCTTCCTACACCCCTCTTCCTCCCTCTTCCTACACCAACACCCCTCTTCCTCCCACTCCCCTTCCTAAGTACCCTATCCTACCCTGTCTCCCTTTCCCACAGTCCTAACAGGTCACGACGTTGTTTAATATAACCATTATTGTTTTTAGGCCCACATGGTTCACAATATAATTGGCCCAAGGCTTAATGATTAGGTTAGGTTAGGTTTGGGTTTATAAAGACTGGGTTCCCCATTACACCTACAACCATCTATAGAAAACGTCAAGTCGAATGTCACAGAAGTAATTATTCGGTTCTGGGAAAGATAAGACAAACGTAGCGAGTAAGACTAACACGACAGTCTGATACACAGTCACAACCTACACACGAACACATACACTGGGTACTAATGTTTGCCCGGGTTACAATGTTACCCGGATAGTAGGTGTCAATAACAGGGCCTTGGTTCATTGGCCAAGAATGCCTTATGACACGTCATTTTTATATGAAGTTATAAAGATGTACTTTACTTCTTCGTATTTCTCTTCAAATAAACTGTTGTTAGTTATGAACAAATAATTGAGACAGTTTGAAACAAATTTCTGGGCCACTCTGACATTACATTGTAAACTATATAAATGTTTTTAATGTGGGTATTTGTGTCTGTATGATCCTGTGTGTACTTGTTTCGTCGCAGGTGTGTGTGTGAGGGTTGGTTGTATATAAGAATATGTAAACAGTTAGCCATGAAATATGTGAACATCTGCCAAGTTCTTCAGTGAGTTCCATTGCTGTTGACATGCAGAAAGTAACACCAAACACAGTTGCCTAAGTTTCTGTTTACATTGGTAGACTTAGACAGTCGAGGTGGCAAATGATGGCGGTGATAAGAGCCCAAAAGACATACTTATACTGTAGCAACTCCCAGACCTGTCATACTACTCTTGTTTCTCTTTATATTGACTTGTGACGTCATGACGTGATATACTACAATGAGTGATTGTCATGTTCTGAGCTGTGACATGATACGTGTGTGTGTGTGTGTGCACCTTGTTCTTTACGACTCCCTAGTGAACACAGCCACTGAACGAGTTGGTCGATGAGGCGGGTGTCGACTCAGTGTTTGTGGTGCCGATATAATATTTGGTATTAAACTCTAAGTCTTACACGCTCAATATTTATTGACAATATTTAAATGTTGACAATATAATTGACTATGAGAGGTTGGTATTGATGATATTAACAATATAAAATATTTATGGAATCTGGATTGATGAGTTTAAAAACATTTCTAAATTTTCAAATAATTTTTGACCGTGTGAGGTTAATATTGTCAGTATTGGACCAGTACAGGCGCCATGGAGTGCACAAGTATAGCCTACTGCTGGTCTTGCTGGTAGCGACAGTGTGTTACCTACCCAAACAAAAAGTGAAACTCAGGATGTGTTGTTACGATTTATTCGGATATAAGAAATTACTGAAGTTATGGGATGTCACATCAAAGGATTATATGGACAAAGTAAAGAAAATTGCAGCTAATGACAAGTTGTTAGTTATTCTCAAAGAAAGTAAGAAAGATGCGGTTTGAAAATAATAGTGAAGATCACAGGCTGAACCGTCTCCAACTGATTCAGCAGGTTTGTATGAGTGTATTTGTGTCACTTAATAAGCCACCCCTTCACCACGCCTCCAGTTATTACGTTTTTTAATGCAAAAGACAAGATTACAACAGCTTTATGAGGCCACATTTTTATCTGCACTCATTTAGTGACTGGTTGACAAGGTTGTACACCATACAAGTGAGGTAAACACCATACAAGTATACCATATATAAGGTATACACCATACAAGTATAACTCAGTGAACATACAACAACCACACACCTGACTCTCACCCCACCAGTCTGCTGTGAGTGTCATAGATGAGGTCTAATGTAATCAACAACCACACACCTGACTCTCACCCCACCAGTCTGCTGTGAGTGTCATAGATGAGGTCTAATGTAATCAACAACAACACACCTGACTCGAGAATCCTCATTAAGGTATTTTGTTCACCTGGTTGGCTCTGTCGCCAGGTGTTCCACACATTGATCATCTAACAAAAGATTTGAATCTAAACAAAAATACTGAAATGTTTTACAAAGGTGAATGGCTTTACTATTATGGTCTTACAGGTGACAAAATGATTGATTGAAACATTAATGCATTCTTATCACGTATACTGTATGGTGTATACTTGCATGATATGTATACTGTATACTCTTATGATGTGTATCAATATGACGTATACCTGTTATTGTCTCTTCTTAGATTTGTAGTTTTTGTAAAGGTGCAAACATGTGTGTGTGTGTGTGAGTGTATGCGTGTGTTTGTGAGTGTATGTGTGTGTGTGAGTGTGTATGTGTGTGTGTGT